ATTTTCCTTTATTTGTTTTTTAATATGCACCGTCTCCTGGAACAAATAAAGGAAAATAAACAGGAGAAAGCTCTGTAGGTGATAAACGAGTTCTGGCGGAGATATTTCTGATGATAAAGCAGTAGTTAATGTGGGAGGTGATGAATCTATGAACCAGAACAGAAGCAGAGCAGGTGGAAGAGACAAAGACAATTGATGTAGGTTATTGATGAGGGAGCTGAATGACAGGGAGCGAGGGAGAGACTGCGGAGCTGTCTATAGACAGAAAATGTCAGTCTGGGATTAAACTGGTTTGGTTTCTGCCAGGAGGATCTCTGTTTAGCAGATATTTACTTTAAAGAAGTTAGGGGAGAACCAGGCTTTAATTTCAGTGAGACATGAGGTGAGGGATTAAGGAGTTTGGCTGACCACATAGATAGAGCTGGGTGTCATCAGCATAACTATGATAACAACCAGAAGGTAAATGGTAAAAACTCCGGGTCCCAGGATGGAGCCCTGAGGAAAACCAGCAGTGACAGGGGACGGATCAGAGCTGAGCGACTTGTTTTAGGAGAGGAGGAGGGAATGATGCTGATTGGTCTATTGAGAAGGATGGAGTGAGAATAGAAAGGAGACCTGAGTCAGACGGTGAGTATTAGCTGAGCTGTTTCAGTACTGGAGGCTGGACTGTACTGGAACATACTGGTTATTATAAGTTGGATGAGTATTTTAGAAATTTAAGGCTAGTTGGAAATGGCTCAGAGGTTAGAGAGGAGAGAACAATGGCGGTTATGGTGAGGAGCAAAGCCTGCAGGGCGGTGGTGAGACTGTAGAGCAGAGGGAGGGGGGCAGGAACATACAGGACATGGGGTAAGGGGGGGTCCTGAATGTCACCAGGAGAGTTTGTATTGAATGCAGGCCTGTACAGGGAGCCAGTGCAGCTGCTGGGAGGACTGGGATGATGCGCTGGATAGACGGGGCAGCTGAGGTCTGATCCAGCTGAGGACTATGGAGGTATTTTAAGGAAGGCCAAAGAGGAGAGAGCGCTATAGTCCAGTCGGGTGCAGATTGTTGGTTGAAAGACCAGTTTTTCATGGAGTCGTTCTAATTGACGACATTTCGCTTTCATTGATCAGAGTTCAGCAGGGAAGCAGAGTGGGAGAAGGTCACAGAGCAACGTTTCTGAGCTGAGAGCTCAGGTTATCATTCAGGTTGATAACCTGAGATGTGAGCTGATCTTAGATCAGATGATATTCCTAATGTTAGGAAACGAGTCAGAAGTCTTTACTGCTGACACACCTTTAAGAAATGTTAGATAAACGGCCAGTTACAAGAAGTTCATCAGCAGAGGAGGGGCTAAGGCCACAACAGCAGATTAAATGTCAGATTAATGTCCTCTCATGTGTGGAGAATCATTTCATAGATCAAAACCAACATTTTCTAAGCAGGATAAAAAGGTTTTAGTGAAGGTAAGTTTACTATTGATGGGTGAATTGTTAGAACCAACAGTAATTAAAATGTCACTGTTAGTGGCTGAATACCCAAAGACCTTATAGACAACAATACACAGCGAGGAATGGACACAGTATGGTAAGACCATGTTGAAAAGGCAAGTTGTTTATTTATAGCATATTACAGTAGCAGGACAATTAAAAAAAAATTAAAAATAACACGGATACGCTTCCAATACAGTGCCATAGAAGGCGAGGGAAATATTATTAAAACTAAGTATGATAGGAATTAAAATGAACTGAAAAGTGATAAAATAATCAATAATAAAAAATAACTATGCAGGCGAAGCAAGGCAAGTTTAATTATACCTACTATACATGTCTTTAAGGCCAATAAAATACGTTTTACTGTTACAGACTGCTACAGACTGAGGGCTGGGCTACAGGACTGAGCTTTGGGCTACAGGACTGATGGTTGGGCTACAGGACTGAGGGTTGGGCTACAGGACTGATGGTTGGACTACAGGACTGATGGTTGGACTACAGGACTATGGGTTAAGGTCCAGGACTCAGGGTTGTGTAAAGGACTGATGGTTGGGCTACAGGACTGAGGGTTGGGCTACAGGACTGAGCTTTGGGCTAAAGGACTGAGGGTTGGGCTACAGGACTATGGGTTAAGGTCCAGGACTCAGGGTTGTGTAAAGGACTGAGGGTTGGGCTACAGGACTGAGGGTTGAGGTCCAGGACTGAGGGTTGTGCTATGGCTTCCAAGGGAGGTGACATCATAGAGGGACCAGCAAGGGTTTTGTCTCCATTTTCGCACAGCGGTCAGGTGACTCGCTGTCGGTTTGTCTGGTGGGCCCTGTCAGCTGTCTCATGAGGGCCGAGTCCAACAGCTCAGGTTTTAACTCAGTGGAAGGACGCCGGTTGACAACTGTTGCCAAGGCACTCGAGCCATCAGCTTCGCTCTCTGTCCAGCAGGAGTCACTGTCAGAAGCTGAGGACAAGCGGCTCTTTCTCCAGCGTCCATTGATTTGGACACCAGCACCCCGACGGACTCCTGGGGAGCTGGTAAGCGTGGCCCGGCGAGATGAAGCAGCACTGGAACAGAAGGAAGAGTGCAGGTCCTTGTCCTGCAGTCGCAGCACACCACGCAGAAGGGGGAAATGGCGGCCTATGGCGGCACGATACTTTGGGTGTGTGATGGCGTAGATGATGGGGTTGTGGATTGCAGAGGCCTTGGCGATGATTGCAGGTACTGAATTCATGTAAGGAGTCAGCAGGTGGGCATAGCCAGCAGTTGCAGTCAAAGCAACAGCAGAGTATGGCGACCAGGACACAACGAACAGCAGAATCACTCCCAGAGCTACTTTGGCCATCCGCCATTCACTACGCAGACGGTCATAAGCCTTGATGGTCTCTCCACAGTTTAGCCTCTCTATCTCCTGAGCTGCTTGCTGCACGGCCCTGAAGATGGCCAAGTAGCAAATGGCAATGACAGCGAGGGGGATGAAGAAGACAAAGACAAAAAGAAAAATGGTGTAGGTGCGCACTGTGACCGTGAAGCTCATATAGTCCCAACTGCAGGATGTTTGCAGGCCCTCAGGGATGTAGGCACTCCAGCCAAAAAATGGAGGCAGGCTCCAGCCAAGTGAGTAAACCCAGACCCCCATGACCACCACACAGAGCCGCCGCCGGCTGACTCCGCCTAGCAGCACCAGTGGTCGTGTGATTGCCAAGCACCGATCCACTGCAATGGCTGTGAGTGTCATCATGGACGTGATGCCAAACAGAGCACCGCAGAAGGCATACAGCTCACAGGCAAACTCTCCAAACACCCAGCGGCGGTGCAGGCTCGCCACAAAGAAGACCGGGGACTGCGTCACTGACATTAGGAAGTCAGCCATTGCCAGGTTAACCACCAGAAGGTTGCTGGGAGATTGCAATGTCTTACTGCGACAGAAGACGTAGATGACCAGAGCATTTCCCAGCATTCCTGTCACTCCCAACAAAAGGATCACTGAGCCGATGATGTAATGGGCATGCACAGGAACATCCACAGTAGGAAACAGATGCTGCTCCGGGACCAAGCCGTGAGTGGGGCTGGGACCGGGGAGGTCCATAAGGTCCACAATCCCCACCCGTTTCTGGTGATCAGAGCAGTTTGTGGTCAGGGGGCAGTCAGATGCCATCTGCTCAGTTCTGCTGGATAGGTGAGTACCGATGGGTAAAATGTTAAAGTTGGATTTCTGCTGGATTCTGTATGGGCCTCTGCAGGATTCTGGTACTAGCCTGCTTGGAAATGCCTCCTGACTGTAGATCCCTGCTTGATTCTTCCTGACGGTTGGTTGGATATCTGAGGTTGTTGGTTGTGTAGTGGTAGAGTGTTAGTGGTGGTCATCTGGGGGTCATCTGGGGTCCAGCAGGATACCAGTTCGCGGTTGCTCAGAATACTTTGGCTGGAGACTTGCAGTATTCAGTTTGGCTCTTCCTCTAATCTCTGTTGGCTGTCTCTCTGTTGCAGCTCTTTATGGCAGATGGATCGATTGATGGTAGGCAATGATTGAGTAGACCATAGACTGATGCGATAACACTGAGGATAGATTAACATCTGTACAGAGGCAACCTAATTACTTCACTTTAACATGGCTCAATTTGGACACTAATGGTGTTCCAACCTCCAGCTCTGCTGAGAATGAGGTCAAATACCTAGAAACAAACTAAGCAGATTTCCTGATCAGGTTCTTCATAGTTAAACAGGTGCAGATTTTAGTTTCTTCTGACAATCTTATCACTGGCATTGATTTTTCAGATCAGCAGGAGATACGTTGTTTTAGACTAGAAACAGGATTCTGATATGAAGGTCTGGGTCTGACACAATCAGGGAGAGACAAAGGACTGGATGGGAGGAGTTTGACCGGGGAAGGGTTTTGGACTAGGACGGTCAAGACAGGACTAGGTTTGGACTGACGAGACGGGTTTTTAGACTGGGAAAGGTCAGGCGGGACGGGTTTTACCTGGGACATTTTGGACTAGGACCAGGACAAGTTTGGACTGGAACAAATCAGATGGCACGGACAGGTCAGATGGGACGGGTTTGGACTGGAACAGGTTTAGGACTGGGACTGGTCAAAAAGGACAGATTTTGAATGTGAAAGGTCAGACGCAACAGATTTGGACTAGGGCAGGAGAGATGGGATGTTTTAGGTTTGGGACGGGTCAGACAGAATGTATTTGGACTGGGAAAGGTCAGACTGGACAGGGTTGGACTGAGAGGGGTCAGACAGGACAGTTTAGGACTGGGGCGGGTCAAACAGCATGGGTTTAGACTGGCCAGCGTCAGACAGGACGGTTTAGGACTGAGACCGGTCAGACTGGACAAGTCTGGACTGGCACAGGTCAGAAAGGAGGGGTTTGGACTGGGAACAGTCAGCTGGGACGGGTTTGGACTGGGACAGGACAGAGACGACGGGTTTGGACTGGGAAAGGACAGCTGGGATGGGTTTGGATGGGAACAGGACAGCTGGGATGGGTTTGGACTGGGACAGGACAGCTGGGATGGCTTTGGCCTAGGACAGGTAAGATGGGACAGGTTTGGACTGTGAAAGGACAGCTGGGACGGGGTTGGACTTGGACAGGACAGCTGGGACGGGTTTTGCCTGAGACAGGTACGATGGGGCAGGTTTGGACTGGGACAGGACAGCTGGGATGGGTTTGGACTGGGACAGGACGGCTGGGATGGGTTTGGACTGGAAGAGGACAGCTGGGACGGGTTTGGACTAGGACAGGTCAGACTGGGACGGGTTTGGACTGGGAAAGGTCAGACTGGATAGGTTTGGACAGATCTTTCCAAACAGAGCGGTCTCCTGCAGCTTCTCCATCTAACAGGCATCAAATGGGAACCCAGCAGCCTGAGGGACTTTCTGTCCCATCAGATGATCAATCCATCAATCATCTGATGGACCTGAAAGGGAACAGAGGGCGAAATGGACCAGAGGGGACGGAGACGAATGACCCAAACAGGCGGGGTGGAAAACAAAGATTCATCACTTCCCCGCTACATAAACAACCTAGTTTATACATTTCTTCTGGTATCAGGCTGCAGAGAAGAACATCCCTGGCAGCTGAGGGGAAAACAGACGCTGACATTTCTGTTGCTTTGGAGGAGCCGAGTCTCTCAGGACGCTCAGGAACGTTTATGCCAATGTTTGAATAAAATGGCTGCACTACAAAATGGCTTACTGGGGTTTGTTAGGTATACTGTATAAGAAACACTTTCAGCTTTTAAACGTCATCAATAAAAACTGGAACAGACTTTTGTATAATATTATATAATAAATAATATATTATCAGATATATATTATTTATATATATAGGTCTGACAGATATGGAGGAGCTTTGAAAGTATAGAGAAGGAGTT